TCAACTGCGACGTTGTTAATTTGCGATTCCCGTCCTGCTACTCCTACTGCTCGTGCTGCTCCCCCCCCTCCTCGCTCGTAGCTTGCAGCAGTGTCTTTCCTGTCTTCTACTCTTTTTTTCCGTCAACCCCTAAACCCTACACCCCAGGCCCTAAATCCTAAATCCTAAGCCCTAAACCCTAAACCCTGTTTGTTTGCGATATCAGCTTTCAGCCCCTTGCATCCCTGGTCTTTGCAGGCACCTGCCAGAGCCCGGACTGCAGGCATCCCGGGGCTTTCAAGGAGGAGCCTGAAATGGGTAGTTCTCTAAATTAGGGTCCCTGTTTGGGTCCCCAATATAGTACGGCGCCCTTATAACAAGGACCATAAAAGGGACCCTAATTTAGAGAACTAGGCCAAGGGGGAGTTTCCGAAAATTATGGGGTACCTTATTTTGGGGGTCCTTATAACAAGGATCCTACGAATTATTTGAGGTAGTATTTTGGGGCCCCCCCCATTTTCGGAAACCCCCATATGGAGGTCGGAAGTTTGCCAACATGATCCCTTGAAGGCCGTATGTAACTATAGTATAACCTGCCCCATAAGGCCACTCCAAGTATTAAGGCTTCCATGGTGGCCCTAAGCCTAAGCTCGAGACCCCAAAAGTGATCCAGACCACATCAACAATGTATTGTGGTTGCTGTGGTCCTTGGGGCTTTGCCATACATGTTCATACATTGTCGTGGCAATAAGCCCCAAATCCTAAATCCTAAACCCCGAGGCCACTAAGCCCTAAACCCCTAAACGATGAGCTCCTAAGTCCCAAAAGTGCTTAAACCCCAAAACCCTAAAGGGCCTAGTCGGTAAGGCTGCGTTCTGTTGAGCGTGAACGCTTGAATGCTAAATTCTACGACCCAAGTATCTTTTACCCAAAATCCTGAACCTCAACATCCTAAGCCGCAAAATCCCAAAGCCTACACTTCGGTTGTAAGGCTCAAAGCAAATCTGAAGTAGGGAGGCAACAGTTCTGAAAGGACGCTTTCAAGCCGCCTGCCCGCACCTTTACGGATGCTCGGAGCATCTAAGCCCACTACCATCATCAGGGGGGGGCCTATCATGAGCTCTACAGATTCCTTCTAGTCCCCTGAAAGATCCCTTATGCAAACCCTTATAGAAGCCAAGCCCTCAACACTAAGCCCGAACCCAAAGCTTCAAAGCATAAAAGCCCAAACCCTGAGCCCTAAAGGCCCTATACTGAACTCTGCCTGGCTTGCGAGCATGGTGTCTTGTACTGGTCTAGCTCAGGTAGAGCTCGCGTGGTATCCAATCCACAAGCCTAACCAGTAAACCCTAAAACCCTTAAGCCCTAAACCCTAAACCCTAAAAGCCCTAAATCCTGCACCCTATAAACCCCTAAACCCCACAGCACAAGCCTTAAACGCCAAGCCCTGAAACCTACAACCTAAACACCAGCGGAGGTACGCTCACAACAAGGAGGAGTTGCGGGCGGCCTCTGTCCTCCCGAAGCCGAAGCCCACGAGGCTTCGCCTGGAGCTTCCCACCTCCTTCTCTGTACATATGTGGTTGTCACAATTAGGGTCCCTTTTTGGGTCCTTATTCTAATACGGCACCGATTATTTAGGACAACTACCCACATATGTGGGTACTTCTCTAACTAAAAAGGGGTCCTTGTTTCAGGGTAGGGACCCGATTTTAGAGAACTACAAAATGTGTGTGTGTGTGTGTGTGTGTGTGTGTGCGTGTGTTGTTTCTTATTGTTTAGGAGCAGGTTTTAGGGATTTAGAGTGTTGGGGCTCTGGGGTTATTCGGAGGGTCAGGTGGTCAGGTTTTGAGCTTTAGGGCTTTGCGTTCTGAGGCTCGTAGGGCCTACGTAGGGTTTTGGTGTTTGGGCTTGGGGGTGACAGTAAACCCTTGAGAGGCCCGACGGTACAGAGGTCGTTCCGTGTCATAAAGAAAGCTTAAACTTTAGAACCTAAACCCCGAAACCTAGTTCCTGAAACCTAAACCCTCAACCCAAAACTCTCTAGTGTAGGGGCCCACATAGAGAGTTCCGTCTGATGATCAGGAAGCCGTACCCTCCGCCGGAGCAGCCGCCGCCACAGCGGTTCAGACAGCCTCAGGGTCCCATGCCTCCGAGGCATCCTCCTTTGATCAGTAATGTTTAGGGTTTAGGGTTTAGGGTTTAGGGTTTAGGGGGCCTGAATAAATAGAGCAGGGTTTGGGGGTATGTTTTATTATGATCATAATAAGGACCCCCTAAAAAGATAGTATAGTTAATTATTTAGGCCCTAACAAAAACTAGTATTATAACAAGAAACCCCCAGAACCCTATTCTAATTATTAAGGCCCCTACAGTATCGTGTTCAATAAGGGTTGCTAGACGGGTGGCTCGGTTTAGGGTTTAGGGTTTAGGGTTTAGAGTGTTTGGTTTAGGGTTACCATACGACTCTGCAGAAGGGCTGAGTGCTAGGCTTTTGGAGTCTTGGGTGTTTGTGGGGGCTTGGGGGTTAGGGTTTAGGGTTTAGGGTTTAAGTTTTAGGGTTTAGGGTTTTAGGGTTTAGGGTTTAGGGTTTAGAGGGTTGGGGGTTTGGGGGTTAGGGCAATTTGGAGATTCTCTGCACTTGAGGTGAGGGTTTGGTTCCATCAAAACCCTAAACCCTAAACCCTAAACCCTAAACCCTTCCAAGGCGGAGCATCGCCGTAAGACAAGTTTCGGCTTGTGGACGTTTGGTCTTTGGACGTATCTGAGGGCTTGGGGCCATCGGGTCAGAGTGTAACAGAGGAGTGTAGTTACCAAAAGAATCCCTTGCGGTTCCCCTCATGGTTCTACGGTTGAATATATATATATATATATATTTCCTGCAGTACCCATAATAAGGAATGTACCATAATTCCCATAGTTTACAGGATTCATATCATCAACAGCAGTACAATATACACCAAACGCCGATTCTCATTGTTCGAGCAGCTACGTCAAACCCGAAGCCCTCAATCTCCTGGGGTTTAGGCTTTAGTGTGTTTTTAAACTCTAAGCTCCCAAGCCCCAAACTCTAAACCCTAAACCCTAAACTCTGAACTTTAAATGCTCAACTTTAAGCTCAACTTGCTTGCTCTCCTTCGATTTCCTCCATCCGCCCTGAGCTTGCTTGGCGTTGGCGTTCTGGGTCGCGGAGCCACCCAAACCTCGACCGCAAGCTGAGAGTACGCCCAAGACCTATGCGGCCCAGACCTTTGCTTATCGTACTTGGAGGATCATGGGACTTAGTAAGTAAGGTTAATAAGGGGCCCTTTAAGGGATCTATAGGGGGGCTACTATTAAGGTTTAGGGTTTAGGGTCTACTTGGAGGATCATGGGACTTAGTAAGTAAGGTTATAGGCACCCGAATTGGGGTTATAAGTAATCATAAGTCTAGTTACCTTATTTATAAGCCTAGTTACTAAGTCCATGAACCTCTAAGTAGGGTCTCGAGGCATATTAGTTACACAGGAACCATATTGGCGTAAACTTCCGAAAGCCCTAAACCTCACCAGCCCGAGCCCTAAGACCCGAAGCCTTAAACACATAAGACTACAAATATAGTCATCACCAGTCATCATACTGAAATAGTCATGATCAGAATCAGAATGCTGTTATTAAGCAACTAGCCCAATCGTAGCAGTAACAATCGCAATCAAAGTAGTAATACATGAATAGTAGTCACAGTAACATGGTAAGATATACTGATCATGATGATAAGACCACAGCAACTACAGTCATCACCATAATAATGCGAACAGCACTATTAACAATAATTATCAGAACAGCAGTAGCGATCCTAAACATAATAGTAATCGCAACACACCGAGCCTGTTTAGCCTTGTTCAGCTTCCCACGCCAGGACACTAGTAGTAATCATAATCATGGCAACAGTGACATTCATAATACTCATCAGAACACTAGCAGTACTATTCAACATAATCTGGGTCGTTGTTGTCTACAGGTTTACATTTTTGGTAGTTAAAACCCGTTTAAGGATTAGAAATGATCATATTTACTATAGCCCCAATGGGGAACCAGTAAAGCAACGCGTCAGGACACCGATGCTGCCGACAAGTCTGCCCATGGCATCCATGGTGCGAGCCCTAAGCTCTGGGATCTCAGCTCCTCGAAGCCGCAGGGCTCCGCCATCATGCACCCTAAACCCTAAACCCTAAACCCTAAACCCTAAACCCTAAACCCCTAAACCCTAAACCCTAAACCCCTCTGCTGCTATTCTGAGATCATTCTACCAGTAGTCTTCCTTGTCTCATTCTCAGTTTTATTTTGGGCTCAAGGACAGGGCTGCCACATTCCCCGGTTCATCCAAGGGGGACTTGGACATTCAGCCTGAGATAGGCCGTGTAGGGTTTTGCGCTTGGGGTTTAGTGGTCTCCTGCAGTATGACTCCAATCCATGGGTCGACTGGGACACATTTTTTGACTTTGTGCGTAGTATACTGACTAGGCTTACGACATCGAAAGCACGAAGGAGGGTATAAGTTTCCGCAAACCCAACCTCTACCCTAAACCCTAGGCCTAAAACCTTCTGGAAGCCGTCAACTTTCACCCTGTGCCCGGCGCCAATGCGCGATCCGGAAGCTTCTGAGACTGCCGTGTCGGGCCAGGCAGGCCCATTCCCCCATTTCCTACTAAGCACCAGACAGTATTTTGATGCCCAGGGACTTTCTGATGCCCAGGGTGGCAGGACACTGAACAAGTTGTCGGTGCCTGTTTTTGAAGTTCTCCCCTTACCGAACCACGTGCTGCGGAGTATTGACGGCTGTTGTTGGAATCTGTATGTGCTCTCAACCCCTGAACGCCTTCACCTTCATCCTAATTTAAACCCTAAGCCCTAAACCCTAAACCCTAAACGCTAAACGCTAAACCCTAAACCCTAAACGCTAAACGCTAAACCCTAAACCCTAAACACCCCAATCGAAAAAGATCCTTCAGCCGCCAAAAGCTCCCAGCAGCTTTGGTGAGGAGCCTAACAACGAGGCTGCTGAGGCTGTGCACTACTCGCGGTCCCGTCCCTTGGCTGGAAGATGTGCTTAGAGGATCGTGGGACTTAGTAACCAGGGTTATAAATATGAGAAGTATAGCTATAGTTACTTATAATCCCACTTAGGTTACATATCAATATGATAAGTCTAGTTCGAGTTACTTAGAATCCCATTCAGGGTACGTATCAATATGATGCGTATAGTTGTAATTACTTATAATCCCACTTAAGGTACCCTGCAGCGGTACTTAGGAAGTCCCTGATCCTCCAAGCCGGGAGCAAACGGTTATGATCGGGCTATCCGTTAAGGGTTCTAGGGGCTCCTTGAGAAGTTCGTATAAGGCTTCTCTAAGACTGTACACTGGGCCCTAACGTTGCACCTGAAACCTAAACCCTAAACCCTAAACCCTAAACCCTAAACCCTAAACCCTAAATCCTACCCCCCAAAGCCCCAAACCCTAAAGCCTACAACCAAGCACCACCGAGGTCGCCTCCTTCGTCTGGTCGCTGTTGGAAGCAGCCTGGTCTTCGCCTGCTTAGTGCTCTATGCGCTGACCTCCAACAGAAAGCACCCGAGTTCTTGTTAATTCAGAAACTTTACTTCTTAACTATCCCTTAGCTGTATTCTGGTTTTTCAATGATTCCAAAGGGAAGGCCGATTATTCGGGTTCTTGTCGGGGAAAGTCATTTAAATCCAGGTAGCCATAATGACGGAAACATCGTTACTTACTGTATACCCTTATGGTGGATTCCCGAACAAGAGCCCTGTAACACCCGTACCAACTGAAACCCGAAACCCTAAACCCTAAATCCTTTCTATAGCTCTTACAGCCCGGTAACAAAACCCTAGAGCCCAGGCACACGCGCGTCGGCAGCGTGACGTTCGAGGCCCGGGCAGAAGACGCTGGGCAGAGCCTCACTTCAGGGACCTCGCCTGCAGTGTCTTCCGAAGCAATGCCGTCACCGCAGACTCCAGCGATCCTGGGTACTTCTTAATGGGGTTTAGGGTTAGGGTTTAGGGTTTAGGGTTTAGGGTTTAGGGTTTAGGGCTTAGGTTTAGGATTTAGGGGAAAGTATAGCAGCCTAAATAATTCAATAGCCGATGATACTATCGCTTCGGGTTCCTTGCTTGCAGAATAGTATGGCATACTTCAGTACTCTAGTGTAACTGGGCTATGAAGGCTAGGTTTAGGGTTTAGAGTTTAGGGTTTTGGGTTTAGGGTTTAGGGTTTAGGTATTTCAGTACTCTATTGTAACTAGTGGGGCTATTAAGGCGACGTAACCATAACGTGGTGTGGAGCAACTTATTGGAAGCACGAGTAGTAGCCATGATTTGGGTGGTTCTCAAAAGTAGGGTCCCTTTTGGGGCCGTATTTTAATAAGGACCCAAAAGGGGACCATAATTTTGACAACCACCCATGTATTCTGTAACTCAGACTTCAGCTCTTCTCTTAACATAAAACCCGACAAAGCCCCATGTGGTACCCAAAAATTTATGGCAACTTAGCTTAAGTTCCTGAACCCCAAAAAACCTAAACCTAAACCCAAAAACCCAAAACCCTGAATCCTGAACCCAAACCCAAAGCCCCAAACTCTGCGAGCAATGCACCCGAAACTCCCAGCGCCCGAAACTCCAAGCGCTCCAGAGCCCTAAACCGGTCAGGGGACTTAGTACGTCAGGTGATATGTACCCTAATTGTTGTTATAAGTGGTGAAAAAATGTATAGTTACTTTCTGTTTCTAGCCCTAACTACTAAGTCCCGTGATCCTCGAAGTATACCCTAAACCCTAAACCCTAAACCCTAAACTTTAAACCCTAAGAGACCAGGACCGCTGCTAGCACCACCTCCAGCACCACCAGCCCCCCACGGCCCGCCGGTGTCCTCTACGTCCTGCGCTCGGGGCACCAGAACTACAAGACCCGGATTCCTGCAGCCAGGGACTTAGTGCCTTTAAGGGGGGTTTAGGGTTTAAGGTTCAGGGTTTAGGGTTTAGGATTTTTCGGGCAGAGACGACAGCTGGCACACCCAAAACCCCAGAAGAGAATGGCCTCCGAACAGGAGGCTAGACATGTGACCAGGGATGGCCGGAGTGCGCAAGCCTATGGTTCTGGCAGCATTCTTACAACAAAGGCACGATCGGAGCGCTCTACTTAAGGTTCCTTACAAGGCCAGCATAGGGCCAGCAATAAGACTGTAGTTTTCATACTTATCCTCAGAAGAGAGCCCAAGGTGATGGGAACCTGGGGTCAGGAGGTGAACTCAACAGCGGATGGTCTCATCATGATTGGAGACGTCAGCTGGCCCAGCCACCGGCCCCCCATCATCCCTGCAGAGATTTGTGGGAACGATCACAGCAGGCAGCTCTGCTGCAAGACGGGGTATGCCTTGATGATGGCGGCGAAGCACCTGGAGGAGTTTTCCTGGTTCTTCGTCGTCGACGACGACATGTACGTAAACCTCGAGAACTCTCGGCAGGTCTTCAACCCTAAACAATAAACCTTAAACCCTCTGCTCTAGACCTTATCCTATACCCTAAACCTTCTTCACTTCACTTCACTTCATCGGACGGTCCAGATCCTAGCAAACCTAAAACCCCAAAATAAAACCAGTTCCCAGCAAACCTAAAACCCCCACATCTCCAAACCCCCCAAAATAAGACCAGTTCCCAGCAAACCTAAATCCCCAAATCCCCAAACCACCGAAATTCAAAAAGTTCCCGGCAGGTGCTCTCGGCCTACGACCCCTCCAAGCTCATCGCCCTCGGTATCCCAGGTTGCGGAGGTGGTCTTTGTGCCGACAAGCAGCTCGGCTCCTGTTGGGCTTGCGACTTTAGGGTTCAGGGTTTTAGGGTTTTAGGGGTTTAGGGTTTTAGGGGTTTAGGGTTTTAGGGTTTTAGGGTTTTAGGGTTTTAGGGGTTTGGAGTCTAGGGGTTTAGGGTTTAGGGTTTAGGGTTTAGGGTTTTAGGGTTTGGAGTTTAGGGGTTTAGGGGTTTAGGGGTTTAGGGTTTAGGGTTTTGGGGTGTGGAGTTTAGGGGTTTAGGGTTTAGGGGTGTAGGGTTTAGGGTTAAGGGTTTGGGCTTCAGTGTTTACGGTTTAGGGTGCAGGGTTTAGAAGTTCAAGCGACCATCAGGGGAAAATATTAAGAACTGCTAGTTACGGAACTTACTCAACTCACCAAAATTGAGACCTATGGTAAATTATTAGTAGTTTTTACCATGGTAGAGAGATATGGTAGATGATATGTTTTCTTTTCCTTTTTGTGGCAACTTCAGGTAGACCCTAAACCCTAAACCCTAAACCCTAAACCCTAAACCCATCACTAGCTCAGGAAGGGCGGCTTCTGCGGCGGGGGTGGCTATGCGATGTCGCAAGCCAGCCTAAGGAAGTTGATGGCGCCATCCCCCGAGGCTTTTCACAAGGACCTCATGAACAATCTGGCAGTCGAGAATCTGGGTTCTTGCCAGGATAAAGTTTATAAGCCTATGACTTTATGCGCGAGTATGAACAAAAACTGATGTATATACATATATGCATATATATATATATATTTATTTATTTATATGCGTGTGTGTATATATGTGCGCCTTAAGAGAGTGGTCGCAAGCCCCTACCCATGACAACGCTTACAGCACGCTTTTGTGTACTCATCCGTTTGACATCCATCTGGAACCCTCGTAAACAAACTGATAACACTTCTAAGCCCTTCATAAGATCGTCACAAGACCCGTCGAATTGAAACCCAATGCCCGAAACCCGAAGTCCTCTAAGGAAGAGTGGACAGGCCTGGGACGACATCAGCATCTCTTGCTCTCTGAAGCGCCAGGGCATCGAGCTCCGACAGATCCTTTGGCCCGGAACTTCCCAGCCCTTTTGTGCTTTTTTGAGCAGCCTACAGCGACCCCTAGAAAGTTGGAACATGGGCCTAGGATGATTAGTGCTAGGATCCCTTATACTTAACCTTAAGGGTATGAGGGCTATGATCTTCCAGCTTTATGGCTTCGACTATAACCCAAGACCCCCGAACCCTAAACTGTTAAACCCCAAACCCTAAACCCTAAACCCTAAAACCCTAAACCTTATTCCCTAAACCCTAGACCCTAAAGCATATTCTAGGGTCCCAGGGTTTAGGGTGGAGGGTCTTCGGGTTCACAGTGTCTTGCGGCCTTAGGGTTTCAAGGGTCTCAGCGTTTAAGGGTTTAGAGTTTAAGGGTTTCCGGGTGTAGGGTAGGGTTTAAGGGTTTTAGGGTTTTAGGGTTTAGGGTTTTAGGGTTTAGGGTTTAGGGTTTAGGGTCTAGGGGTTTAGGGACGAAGCACCTAAACCATAATGGCCCCAAAGCGCTAGTTCAGTTTTGGGGAAGCAAGCAACCCTACATGGGAGGGCCGGGGGACTTAGTGGGTTAGGGCACTTACAACCCACTTATTGCCTACTTGCTAAGTCCTCCGACCTTCCGCCCTATCCCCACCCGAGCCCTAAACCCTAAACCAAAGGATCCGGGGACTGCATGGCTGGCGCCTTCCGGGCAAAGGGAAGCCCATCAGTACGGAGTATGAGCGCGCTCCTGGGTTTTTAGTAGGGTTTGGGGTTTAGGGGTTTGGGTTTGAGGCTTAGGGGTGAAATTTAACCCTAAACCCTAAACCTTCTTTTGAAATTTAGAGGTTTGGTTTTTGTCTTGGAGCTGGGCGGGGGGGAGGGGGGGTGGTTAGAGTTTATATAAGGGTCTGGGGGAGCTTTCGGGTTCGGAGGATGAATTAGGGTTTCGGGTTCTCTAAGGCCTTAGGGTTTAGGGTTTAGGATGTAGGGTTTCGGGTTCTCTAAGGCCCTGGGGTTTAGGGTTTAGGATGTAGGGTTTTGTCAGGGTTCTAGGTTCGTTTTCAAGTGACCGAGAGGTTTGGGGTTTAAGGTTTAAGGCTTTGTACAGGGTCTGTGAAGGTTCTGCACGAGTTCTTGTAGTGTTCTTTCAGGCTTCTGCGAGGGTCTTTCAAGAATGGTCCTCAGGGGTTTCTTTGAGGGTTCCTTGGGGCTCCTGCAAGAGTTCCATAAAGCTTCTATACGGGGTTTGGGAGGGTTGCATAAGCGGCTTAGGGATCTAAGAGACTCGTTTCTTTTTGGAGTTCAGGGTCCCTTGTTTGGGAACCCAGCTTAAGTAACCACAAATGATGTTCCAGCTTAAGTAACCATATATGATAGGGGTTTTCTTGGATTTAAGAAGTTGCAGGCTCTCCGTAGGGCAACTTCCATCCCGCTCCTTCACAAGCGCCAAGGCTATCAAGTCGAGGGACCCCTTGCCGATCACCTTCCACTACCTGACCAGCGACATGATGCATGCGATCCACGACCGGTTCCAGGCGATGAAGCGAAGAAAGGGCCCGAGGCTCCTCTCCCGAAGGAGCTCTTTCGGGCATCCCTACGACGCGCAGCTGCGGCAGTACCTCCTGAACATGAGCCACGGGCACTTCGATCCTTCGGCATCCTGAGGGGCTTCCGGAACTCGGAAGTGCTTCTGAGGGCTCCTCAACTCGACGCTGACCTGCTGCGCCTTAAGGGGCGGCCCAAAGGCTTCCTTTGGCTTTCCCGAAGCACTGGCTCTTGGGAAGAGGTCCGAGACTACCGGAACGTGGAAGGTGCAAGTCAAGCCTGCCTAGGAAGCTTCAACTTTCTGCCTCGTCTGGCGCCCGGACCGAATCAGGATTCCACAGGGACACGCGCCAGGCGCTTAAAAGAAAAAGGTCGGCTGAGCTGTCCTGTCCCTCAGAACCGTCGACCCCAAGCCCGACTAAGTTATGAGCCCTACGGCTGATAGTATAAATCCTGCATTACCCATAATAAGGAATGTGCCATAATTCCCGCAGTTTAGGGTCCTTAAGGTAATGCAGGATTTATATCACCAGCCGTAGTGAGAGCCTGAGGTTTCTGTCTGCACCAGGCCAAGAGTATCAAAGTCTGCAGTAACCCTAAACCCTAAACCCTAAACCCTTAAGCCGAGAGTGTGAGATCCACCTGGTGAAGCTCCTTGGACGGTTTAGTTCAACAAGGAGCCCTCAAAAAATTCGGAATCACATGCCTGCCTCTTTCGTCCCGTATCATAAGTCTAGCCTAATGAAGCCCCAAAATCCTAGCCTTATTCTAGTTTCGGGTGCTTCGTGTGCAGGCAAGGAGGCTCATGGGTAGTGGCGAGCATGCAGGAAATTTCAGACCATTCAACCCGAATAACCCCCTAGGCCCTCAGCTCTAGAAGCCCTGCAAGCCCCCTAAGACCCTAAATGGGTAGTTTTTAGCACTAGGGTCCCTTTTAGGGTCCTTTTTCTAAGGGTGCCGTACTATATTGGGGACCTAGAGAGGGACCCGAATTTAGAGAACTACCCAAATCCTTAACCCTTAAACCCTAAATACACCGTCTAGATTTTCCTCGCACTCCTATAGACCGTACGACACTTGCAAGTGACCAAGGATGGTTTTGGAATCCCGATGTTGGCCGCCCGGGCCCCTGACACCGGAGTGCTGCTTTTCGATTTTGCTGAGCTTTCTGAGGCCACGAAATCCAGTGATCTGAAACACCTCTGAAGCCATCCAGCATCCTCAAACCACAGTCCCTGCTAGAAAGGCCGGAAGAGCTAGTAATGGTATACCGACGATGTTATACAAGTATTATACATATATATAGAGAGACACACACACATACATCTAGACTTATATTTATGGCATATTTGTGTTGAGTCGCTCTATGACAGAACTCCAAGCCCTATTCTGATAAATCCCAAACTATGATCTTGCATTGATTTTCTGTTTCGACGGGTTTAGGGCTCAGGGCCTGCGGGTTTGGAGCTTCAAGGTTTTGGGGTTTAGGGTTTAGGGTTTAGTGTTTAGGGTTTAGGTCTTGAGAGCGGTAGGTTCTTCGTCGTGCAGGGATTCAGAGAACAACAGTCGTCTTTAGAATCAGAATCATGTTCATCTAGTAATAACAATAAAAGTAGTAGCAATATTAGTAATGCTACTAGTATTAGCAATAGCAGTAATGGTCATGCTAATGAGATGATAGTAGTAATGCTTGTAGTAACAATAGTAGGACGATAGAGATCATCTATGACCCTGGTCCTAAATCCGACTCCATTCGAACCTTCTGAAAACCCCAAGCTCTTTAGACACCTCACATCCCCAGAGACTCCAATACCCCTTAATCAAGGAATATACCTTAAATTATAGTAGGATCCCTAATATGATTTAAGGTATATTCCTTAATTTAGGGGTATTGGAGTCTCTGGGTCTCAAGCAATAGAACCCGGAGCACCAACATCGAGAACAAACCTAAAACCCTTAGACTCGAAAACCCTAAAACCCTGCGATTTAGAAGCAGGCCGTTGGACCTTTGCCACCTCCAACTCGCGTTCCAGTTGGCTTGCATCATATGCATTCCTAAGATGTGATACTTCAGGGACCCCTTGAGCATTTGCTGATAGTTATGCCTTAGCGTTCCTTGTCTTCGTTATAGTATCCCACACCCCATTAAGACTCCTAGACTCTATACTTAACGGCAATAAGATAGGGATATGTAGCCTGCACCCTGCGTGACAGTAAAGAGGCAAGGACGTCCCTCACAATTTATGGGTCTTGTGTAATATAGGGGCCTAAATAATTACCTATACTATTTTGGGGGGGGTTCCTTATTTTGGTTCTAGTATAACATACCCCAAAACCCTATCCAAACTATTACTGCCCCTACATTACTTTCATTCCACAGCCTCGACACAGCAGGCATGAATGCGTGCCCCTAAACCCTCAACCCTCAACCCTAAACCCTCAACCCTCAACCCTAAACCCTAAACCCTAAACCCTAAACCCTAAACCCCAAACCCTAAACCCTAAACCCTCAACCCTAAACACTAAACCCTCAACCCTAAA